GATCGATATCCCACACGAGTTATTGGGTTCGGTGTCTAGGGAACTGTTTGATATTCTAAATAAAGTTAGAAGCTTAGGGGAGGAGGGTCCCAAGTCTCTGGGGTTGCTGTCTGACAAGCCACATTCAGATGATGTGCTGGTAGGAGAGGATGATTTAGCACATTGGAGTGATCACCGCCACGAACAGATTTATGGAAATGGAAAAGAAACAGAGTTGATTGACGAGGATGAAGACAGTTTTGAGCGGACACTTGGGGATGTTGTTCCTTGGGACCAGATGAGAACAGATTGTAGGAGTCAAAAGGATTTATTAAGCGAGTCCTGTAAGGCTGATAAATGGTTGAAGTGTAGCGATTTCGATGATAAGAATATTCTTGACTGTGAAGATACCAAACTAACCAAGCCCATGAGACATGACGAGGCTATAGTGACAGATGTAAGTCTTGTTGGTATACAGGTTGATAGTTTCTACCAGGAAAATTCCAAATGGTATGATTCTCCTTGTGGGTTGGATTCCAGCACCGATTGTGGAGACAGTGAATTCCGACCTGGGGAGATTGTGTAGATTCTTGAAGAGCCAGGTTAACCCACTCTAACTTACTCATGAGTCTATATTATGCCCATTTATCCCATTGCTCACACCTGGGACTGGGTTGTACATTTATGTATACTGAAGATTTGATCCTCTTACATGCTGTAGGTCTCTTTTGTGTGTTGCTCTGTAAAGTACAGCCAATTTGGCTTCTCTGCACATACCTTATTTATTACCATTATTTGTTATCACTGTTCTGGACTTCAATAGTCTTTACTCGGGTTCTTCTTATAATGAATCTCAAAGATGATTTCCATCTTCAAATTGTCTTGAAAAATCCATGTGCCTATGACATGTATATTTTTGCTTCCATTTTCCCTTTTATGGTTTTTCATATATTGTGTGAATTGAATTTGTTGAACATTATATAAGTTTCCTTCTCTACTTCTTGCAGTCTTCTATTTCTTGAAAGCATCATGACCACTTATCTTGCCTGTGCCTCATGGTTGTATTGTGAAAATTTGACTTGTAAGTTTAATGGCTAGCATACTTTCTGGCCTTCGCTAATTTTTGTGCTGGAAATAGATTTTGGCAGTTTTGGATCTTAATGGTGGTCATATAGCATTCTTCATAGAATGTTTTAAGATAATTTTGGTCTGAAAGATTTACTAACCCAGCCTGGCAATGACAATGTCTTGCAGGATTTTTGCGTGGGTGGGCAGGGTGTTTGTGTCTTCTTTGGTTTTTTGAAGTAGATGTCTTGGGTTGTAACTGTATTACTTGGTTTTGTTAATGCTTGCACCTCTGCTTAAATTTTAGCCTATCAACATATCTGGGTCTGTTGGCAGTAGTAACAGCATAAAGTGACTTGCAGCTGATGTTGCAAAACTGCTATGCTAGA